ACTAGTTTGGTAAAGAATAATTATATTAATAATAACCCATAAATAATAATAATAAATAGAAAAAATAATAAATAATCAAAATAATAACAAAAACAATGGCTGACAACTTGAGAAGTGGCACTGGGGTCTCTGCCCTTCATCTAGGTACTATGGAAATTATTTTTATTTTTCTTCTTCTTCTTCTTGTTCATCTTTTTCTTCTTCCTCTTCTTCTTTTTCTTCGATTTATTATTATTATTATTATTGTTATTATTTTTATTATTATTGTTATTATTGCAGGTGACGTCATCTCGTTGTTCGGCGAGGACCAAGTTTCCGGTTTCATGTCGACGCTGGGGCGAGTTTTTTTTCAGCTTTCATTATACTTTTTATTATTATTTTTATTATTATTGTTGTTGTCATTGTTGTTATTATTGTTGTTTTTCTTCTTCTTCTTCTTCTTGTTATTATTATTATTAATTATTAATTGTTAAATATTATTATTATTATTGTTATTATTTATGCAGTTTGGTGGACGACAGGTGCGTCTTGCGGCCCTGCCAGGGCGGCTCCATCGGGAGTGTTCCCGTGAAGTTCAGAGGTCAGTATCATCATCATCGTCGTCGTCGTCGGTGACATCATCATCGTCGTCATCAACATCCCTTATTCATCACAATCATCATCGACCCCATCATCATTATCATCATCATCATCATCATCATCATCATCATCATCATCATCATCATCATCATCATCATCATCATCATCATAAATAACAGACTGTCTCTTCAAGGTATGTCCGGTCAACAAATATTCAGCCAGGACTCAGTTCTGGAAGGCCGTGAAAGAGAGCAAAACGAAACCGTCATTCGATCAGTCCATCATCAAAAAATTATTCGTAATTATTTATTACGTCATAATTATTGCGTCGTAATAATAAGTTTTCTATGTTTTTTATTTATATTATTCGTTTTGTGTTCCGCGCAATGATAAATAAAAACATTAACGATAATGTCATTTCTAACAACTTTAATGAAAACAATATAAATAATAATGAGATAATAATAATAATTATTATAATAATGATAATTATTATTATTATTATTAAAATAATTATCATTATAATAATTATTATTACAAAAAATTATGGCCCCATAATTTTTATTCTAGAAAGCCGCAGAGCAAGAGAAAAAGCAGAATGAGATTGAG